TTCCACCTTGGCTGTGCTTCCCATCTCGATGTGCATTCGCTGTACCAGGATCTGCCTTATTGCCTTTTGTTCTCTATCAGTCGATTCTCATCACTGGTCCTGTATGTTCGTGCAAATATTTCTGTCGAACTATGTGAATTGCCCACCCAATCCTTCACTCCGCCCATTTCGCTTTTCTATCCGTTCGCTTTGATTTCTCTCTGTATGTCTCCAGTTTTGTTAATTTATTTTTGTGTCAGATCAGATGGTTTCTCTTTCTCTCTCTCTCTGTGTGGTTTATTCTCTATTCTCAAAACTTAACGATACATTTAACTTTCTTTTAATGATGTATGTATCTATCTGTTTATCCTTTTGTACAAAGCATCTGTATATTTAGGTACGTTTTGTTGTCGGACCGTGCCTCTTTCCGTGTGCATAAACAGTGATTCACAGCGGGTCCTGAGGCCTAAAAGGTAATAATGCAATGCAATACTGGCCTCCTCACCTGCTGGTTTTCTCTATGTGATACGACCAATTTTTCTGCTCGACAGATCACTTGACCCCATACACAAATTTATCCGTGATCATCCGCCTCCTCCACTCTCACGAGGTCCACCCCCTACCCACTCTATCAAATATTTGCCTGTGAGCGCGTGCCTTCCTTTCCCCGGACTGTCCTTCATCACCTCCCCTACTTAGCACCCATCGCTCTTTCGTCTGTCTTCATTTGTTCATCTAATATCTGGTCGGTCCTCATCACCACCCCCTACTCCCCTACTCCCCTGAAACTCATATGTACACCGGTTGGATTTTCGGACTGATTAAATGGTCGACCATTTGCCTGTTTGGCCACTGGAATTGCTTTCTGTCCCCATCCGATTTTAAATTGTGCGTTCGCATCCGTTTTTCTCTCTCTCCCTCCGTATGCACCTCCTCTTTCGCACCTTTATTCATTACGTTTTTTTTCTTCAGTTGGATCCGTACTGCTCTTTTTGACTGCGGTCATCGTGGTTTTTGTGATGTCGCGGAGCCCTGAAGAAAAAGGAAATTGAAACGGACACCGTGTTTTGGTTCATTTTCCCCGCGTATGGGAGTTCTCAACTGTAGCGCCATGCTCTTCCGACACGTTTCCACTGTGTGTGTTTGTGTGCTTCCACATGGCAAGTTGTTCACGTGCATCATTTCTTGGAGCATCATCGTACGCAGCCTGTATCTGGTCCGGCCCAGTGAAATGACTGGATAGTTAGTTGTTTGTTCAGAGCGGAACCGAAACAACGATAAAAGTAATGAAAAAAATCGGCCAGTTTCAGGCAATAAGAGACCTCGTGAACTGTCGTCGCGCCGTGATTTCAAGAGCCTCACTTCGGGTCAGGGCGTCATAGTGCAAGTGTGTGTGTGTGTGCTCGTGTAGGCCAGTACACAGTTAATTTGCCTATCTGTCCGACGCAACGTTGGTCACAGTCTAGGTCCCCCGATCAGTCGTGTGAATCTACTCGGTCCTTGCCGTTGAACTAAATGGACTGCAGTGTTTAAGATTTGCGGGCAATCCTGACATCCAGTGGGTGAAGGATACGATCGACGGCTTTTGATACCTCACGTATGAATGGGAGATTACGAGTTTCGTTTTCTTCTCTTCATCCTTCGGTTTTCTTCTTCCCCTATGGCATGATCAGACGAAACTTTTGGGATATCTATTTGTTTAAAAGTGATTGAACAAATGCAAACAGTGTAACTCCATATCTTGCTCGGCTATTGGTTAATCGTAAGACAATTGTTATCCACTTCGGGGCAGGACTCTTGCATTAATTTTTTGACATTTAACCCAGTATTGGATTTATCTTCTATCATTTTTATGTTGATCGTAAAACACAGGGAACTTCTGTGTAATCAATCGCATGGCTCCTGTCATCAACATGTCAATGTTGATCGCACACGAGTGCATGACGAAAAGCAGTCGGGGCGGACACCATAGTTACAAAAACCTGCTGTTCAGTGATAGTAACCGGCACCCTAATCCCTGGGCTTGGAGGAGCGAAACAAGGCCCGACTAGCTCAGGCGTGGTATAGAACCGGACGACAGAAGAGCTGTCTACCACCAAAGTAGGGTGGCAGTGGCGAGGCTTGAATCTCGGACTATACGGTCTAAAGCATGCCGGGGACAGCAACTAAACCACTGCACCACCACCACCACCACCCTAACCGATCACGAGAAATTGGCGATTAATCAGCTTTGTTATTGTTTTTGTGTGTCCGGTCAAACTTTAATAACCTTAGTAACAAGTGCACACGTTCATTGACTGAGTATAAGAGTAGTATCATATCTACACAAGTGGACATCCGATAGAGCCTTTCCTCCCCACCAAGTTTCAATGATGAGATTTCGATAGATCAGAACGGAACAACAGTACTAAGTACTAAGTTTCTTCTTCAAGTAGTTTACACGAACAGCACGTTTGGTCTGGTTAGATTGATAAATTTGTAGTGGTAACAGTTGTGTTGACTTCAGTAATAAAAATATAATGAAATGAAACCCCTCATTAATTTTTGACTTCATTTCAATTCCTAGCTGGGACCAGTGTTCATGATCTGTGAAATGATAGCAAAATCACACAAAACCGCACAATTTTAATAGTGCAGTTTTCCAATCTTCACTTATTTGCGATTCCCCAGTCCGGTTGAAGTATACGCGCAGTCCAGATTTTGACTCGGACCTCCACAATAGAATTTCCGTTCACAAACGCTTGGGCTGCCCGATCAACCATGCCAAGTTATCATCTGCAGTTCAAAATGATGTTGTCAGTTTGCCTAATTATAGCTTCATTTGGTTTGTGTGGACAATATGCCTAATTCTTTTGTTGGTGAATAATCAAGCACATTCAGATCGAGAATTCATAGGTATAACGGGATCGCAAAATTCGGCATTGTTCACAAGGAACACCCATTGAGATGACTAGCAGACTGTATTCTAATACCTATGTGAAGAAAACGCAATCATTGGGAATGTAACCCACTCACTAGTAGTGGATCCTGGTCTAATTACGTAAGACATGAATTACCCATGTCGGTTGGTTCTTAGATTGCCACTGAACGTCCACCTCATGGGTTATAATTTCAAGTTGGTGCGCCTCGAAGGTCTACTAAAATATTGACATTAACGTTTTGACGTCAGGGTGTTCATCTTTGTCATCTCTCAGTCACCTCATTTCTCTTGTACGAGGAAACCTAACTCTTTCTAGCTGAGAATAGATAAATCCCTGGTATACGTAGTACTTTCACACCAACAAACCTACAGTACTGGTCGATTGTGATGCACTGAAATATTTTCTCTATGATCCAGTGGAGTTTCATCATATTTATTACTTGTTTTAATGCTTTATGTGTGGACAATAATTTATATCTTGTCTACTGGGATCTAAGCAGTTTCTAGGCTGCATAATTGTCAATTAAACGTGCGTGACCTTGGTTGCTAAGATTAAATGATCTGAACATGAAAAACGCAAACTTTATCAAGTATGAAAACGCAATATATTCTAATAGGAATAAATGAAGAATTATCCCGAATGATTTCCATAAACCCTTGCGATCTCGGGTGTTTGCTGAGGCATTTTTTTATCCGACATATTTACTTTTAGACTTCAGAAAAGATGCGTGACTCCAAGGTTCAGTTCATGCAACTCTCTCCTAATAGCCCGGATCTCAACGTG